TAGGTTTGTAAGACACCGTGGGTTTCCCTTAATAATGTCAGAGTATTTTTCTAATTCAAAAAGACCGCAATGGCCAACGGCAAATTCATGCATACATATATATGATATGTACATACAACGTCTGCTCATTAGTTAGTTGAGCATGTATTTGTAGGTTAATGCACATTAACTAACATACATACAAGAAGCTTAATGTGACTTTATTCATATATAGTATATATACATATATTTATATACATATTATAAGCCATTTGGGTTAGTCAATATGTCGTATACACAATGTAATTTGTCACACGACCAGAGTAGACCAACAGACAGGCATCATATTCTCTTTTTTTAGTTACTTTCCGTATACTGCTGCTTCTTCTTCTTTTCTTTTTCTTCTCCTTATAATCGCACTATTGATAATTGTATATTGCCGCTGCCAAGTGCAACGCGCGTTGATCATCAAGTGGGTTGGCATGAAGGTGTGACACCTTGTGAGCGCCCCCTGTAATTTGCATTGCATTAAAATCGTACAACAGTGGCATTGTTGTTGGGTGCCCACTTACATACCTACTTGTAAATAAATATATATATGTATGCAACATAGCTACATACGTACATACTCATTGAAGTACTTTTGTTGATAAACAATGTATCTTTAAGGTAAATTTCAGCATTGTTGCTTGACATCGAAATGGATTACAAAATGCTTTTGTTTTGTCACAAAAATCTCAGACATAAAACTTGATTAGTAGTTGTTGCAATTTCGCTTGCAAATTAAGTCTATGTAAAATAGATTTGAAGTACTTGCAATAACATACATATATATATAGCAGACTTAGATATTTATGCAGTTTTCTGTGACCTAGAATAGAGGCTGGAGTGATTATCTGTTGAGAAATGGAAAACTTGAAATAAAATCAAGCCTGAGAAACATCTGCCTACACAAAGTACTGACGTCTAGTCCAACAGACTTCCAGCTAGTCGTTTGTTAGAGCCGAGCGAATATTTTTAGAATTTTTGATTTTTAAAATAAATTTTTTTAGCACTACTACCTTCATGAAATTGAAGCCAATGATGTATGTTGGAAGAAATGAAGAAGACATTTCAAACTGCTTCTGACTTTTCGAACTGAGAAACTATATCTCAGCTATCCTTCTGCGGCTTATAACACACGTGTAAGACTCAGTTAGTCTAGATGTTTGATCGCTTCATAAATGGATTGGATTTATTACGAGTTATTTGGATTATGATGGATGATGATGATGGATGATTTGATATAAATGTTACAGCGGTAGTCTTGTGTTAAGAATTAGACTTCCAGATTATTGCAATGTGTCCAAGCGGTTGGAGAAATATGAGCACTAAGCTTCTATTCAAAACTGGTATTTACCCCTCGATGCCATTAGAAACATCTGACGCTACGCAGACACCAAGGGGTCAAGGGGTCAGAGTTGAAAATATGCAAAAAGACCAGCTGCTCTGGAGCTTAAGCATATTATTTCCACTCCTATGATGTTGATTAATTTCAGAATTAAAATCAAATGATCAACGACTCATCTTGGGAGAGCTGGGAACTGCAGTAATAGCGCGCCTGTACTTATGAGCACTATAAATGTGTGCTCCTTCTTCAACTTGTGGTTTACTTGTGGGGAGATGAGAATTAATTATGTGTGATTGGGAGATTATTTTGTACCAAGGTGTACTACAGAAGGTCAAGGAAGCGCCTTTCTAACTCGAAATAAAGACTCTCACATTCAATGGAAATGGAAATTCACGAGGCAGAACTTGGAACCTTACGTATAGCCACTGCCGCGATTGTTGGGAAGTAGATTTGGTATTATCTATGAACTTTCCTGCATTTGCGCCACCGAGACTGAAAATTCTCGAAACACACCAACTCGAGAGAGATCTAATTAGCGGGTTGCTCGATCGCGTAACTCTGAACGAGCGCACTTAGATCCGGTCAGCTTGCCCATTGCGATACCTTTGGAATGTTCAAACCATTTGTTGTTTTTTATAAAACTCACGAGTTAATCGCATGATGCTTGCTTGAACCAAGGGAACGATGTCAGGCCACACTGAGGACTAAGGGGTAGCGGCAGAGTTAACGCTCTTCCGTATTCTTCTGGTCTATATCTCTGCAGCTGCAAGAATCTCTTTCAGAGAGTGTATTATTGCTACGCGTCCAAGTGCGCTTTCTTTTGGGACGGGCGTCCCTCAGCTTTTGAAATACTTCAACCAAACTTAGTATTTACAAAATCCAAAGGTATAATTAATCGATCACTTGTGGTAACGGATCGGACTTCTGGACCGTATGTATGACCAATGTTTCAGATATGAGGTTTTTCTGAAAAAAAAAATCTGAACGCGTGTAACTTGGTATTAGGCACAAATATTAGGCCAAGGAGAAAGTTCGTTCGGTTTTGTACTGATTTTTCAAAATATGATAAATTTGTGTACATTTGTCCGATTTAAGTCAAATATGCGCCGTTTTGTTCGCGAACTTGTTGCCAACGAGATGCCAACTGCATTATACCCCTCTCGTAGAAGGCTGCGTCCCTATTGGCAAAAAACTCGGAGAGCCAATTTTCACAGGCCTCTCTTGACGTCAACTTCTTACAATTAAGCGCGTGCGCCATGGACAGGAAAAGATGGTAATCACTTGGTGTCAGGTCCGGACTATAGGACCTCCCATCCGAGCCCCTGGAGTTTCTGGCGCGTCACCAAAGACGTGTGTGGCCTGGCGTTGTCCTGATGGAACACAATTTGGCCTCTGTTGATCAAAGATGGCCACTTCTGGATGAATGCTGCCTTCAAGCAGTCCGGTTGTTGGCAGTCGAGAGCCAAATTGAGCGTTTGGCCATAGAGGAGCAGCTCGTAGTAGATGATTCCTTGCCAATCCCACCAAACACACAGCAAAACCTGGTGCATCTTTGGCATCGAAATTACCGGAGAGGAACTTTTGTGCCCATAAACTAAATTAATTTCTCCAGCCGCTTTGACTGCTTTTTCGCCTTGATCGACGAGAAATTGTAAAATATAGCGAATTTTCTCTTTGCTGGTGTCCATCTTTTACAAGCGCTCAATCGAAAAACTGTCAGCGCCGTATAGTATGGCATGATGCAACACGTAACACTAGTACTACGGACAATAACGCCATCGCTTAGATAAAAACCCAACGAACTTCTTACTTGACCTAATATAATAAGTAACACATTAATGCTGAAATTTATCGAAATCGGAAACCTATCCCATATAGTTCTGATACAAACGATTTGTTAAGATACAAGGTTTTTGGTCAGAAGTCCGCCTAAAAAACCCTGAATTTTAGTATTTTACAAACGTATATGGAAATACATATTGTCACTGAAAATCATCTTTTATCTATAATTTACAAAATCGTTAAAAAATTATATATCTTAAAATTCAAATAAATTTAAATTTTTATTTATTTTAATAACTCTTTTTTTACTAAAAATTTAAATTTTTTCATGGTTATTTGACACTTTTTTTTGAAAAGTTGTTTTTCTGCGCTATGTAGTGTGCAAAGCAGAATTAAATATTAAATAATTTAGAAAATTTGTTTAACTACGAATCAATTATTGCAAATATTTTCTATCATATATATACTTACATATAAGTATATGAATATGTATACTTTAATAAAAACTTCATTTAATGATCAGATTTTTCCTTGGAATTTTCTACCCGATGTTTGAGTGTGTATGTTTGTATTTCATAAATATTTTCTAATTCCATGCTATTTATTTTTTGTAACATTAGTGTAGTAGCATTTATTTGCTAGATTAGCTTAGTTGTATATATATATATATATATATATATATTTTTTTTTTTTTTTGTATAAACTACGATTTCCATGATTATTTGCTGGGTAACGTGCATCACGTTTGCCGATGCAATTCTGCAGATAACTGTGCTTTTCAAGTGAAGTATATATGTTTTTGTTGCTGTTTACTGTTTACTGTTGCCGCGACTTTTGCGGCTGTGACATAATCACAGAGCAATCGGCATAGTGTGCGGCGTTAAAGAAATACAAACAAATTTAATACATACATACATACATATGTACATACATACATATTAATGGCAGTAGTAGATAATATTCCGAGTACTAGCTATACCACTGCCAATCCGAAATTGCGCACCAGCAGAGAAAAACATTAAAATTTAAACAGGAAAAACAGCGGGCGGAAGAAGCCGCAAAAGAAATAAACAAAGAAAAAAACAAATCGCTAACTCACTAAATGAAGCGAGAAAAAAAATCAAGGAAATACAAAGAGATCTGTTGAAGAAGAAGAAACACAGGCCAGTTCAGCGTTTTTCGTTCAAGACTCATAATTATATACGTGGCATGATTTTTTTGCAGCAGATCTTTCCCAGCAAAGCTTTGTTGTTGCTTATTTTTTATTTCATTTTTTTTTTTTAATTCTTTTTTTAATTTTTTTTCTTAATCTTTTTTTTCATTGAAACTCGCTTCATTTAAGTTTTTCATTGAGTACACGTTGCAGTCACTCGCACAGTTGCATGCCTTTCTGCTTGACTCGCTCGCTCGCTGGCTCGCTGCATTGCATTTAGTTAGCGTTTGCTTGATTGCTGTTGGGAATGTAGGTCAATTACTTACCCTCACCGACAACCACACTATCATCATCATCATCATCATCATCATCACTGCTAGTGCCATTATCTGCAATATTAAAATGCTAGCTACTTAACATCAAAAGCCTTCCGCCATACAAGTTTCCTTAAACGCCTGCCCGCCCTCATGTTGGCCAAAGCACGCGAATTTGCAGCGTAATTATGTAGATATGTGTGCTTGCGTTTTTGCTTTTACCAACGTGGCTAATATTTTTTTTTACTGATTTTTAAAGTAAAATTGTAACAAAACTCAAAAACATGAACAATTTGTCTCTTATCCATAGAAAAAATGCCATTTAATACTACTATATTTGATTTTTTTAATTATTTTTCTCTTCCATTTTTTCCAATTACAGTTTTGTTTGACAAATTATTGCGCCTTAACGGTATCGTCGCATTGCATGTAAGTATTTATGGTATTTAAAGTAATTAATATTAACTGAAATGTGGCAATTGCACTACTGCATGAAAGCCATCCGTAACAAAAGACTTATGCAACGAACTTGCTCGAGCTTCAAATGAACTTTATGCAAAAGTTGCTCGCATATTTTAACAGATCGAATTACAATTGCTAAAGGCTGGTGCATGGTGTGCAAAAAAATTTAAAAAATACAGAGACTGGAAGAAGTTTTAATAAAGATTACAGCAAGGGGAAGTCAGATTCTAGCTCCTGCGCGAAAGCGCTACAGTGAAAGGAGAAATACTCAAAGCATTATTTTATATTGGATAGTAATGTAGCTGGTAGCATTCCATGAACTCATCTAATGAGCTACGTGAGTCTACTTTATTATAGCTTCTTCTCAAAGATAGCCATTCCTTTGAGGCCTGGCAGAACTCATTCTAGCTAAATTTCCATTATCTTTTGGAGTGCGGAAGAATTTGCTGCTGATTAATAACGGAAAATTGGTTGTAAAGATTATATTCTTAGACAAAAAAAGTGGGGTCTTCATGACCCAAATAGTTTGTAGTTTTAGTGGAAATATTTGGGAAGTAACTTTTCTTAGCTTTTCTAAACGCGATATACTAGGATGTTCTGTAATGACCAATGCGACTTTTTACATCAAAAGCTACTTTCAAACGGTTTATAATGTCTCAAGCCAATTACTGAGACTGCATGAAAGTTTTGGTATACAGCCTTCTTTCTTTTTACGCGCTTACAGGGAATATTCATGTAAGCAATGAAATGAGTCGATTTTTGGTTGATTGCTTCATAGAAAACATGGACTAACCGGACTGCGCTCCGCAATAAAACTCCACAAAGAGTGTGTGGAACATATTCGTGAGAAGGCTTTATTAAAATAATCGTCAATTTGTCAATATGAATCAGTTTAAGGCTGGAATTATTGCCGAAAGGTCTAAGCTGTCCTTCAGTCTTTTGGAGAAACTGATTGAATCAAAGAAAAAAAAAAGATTTCTTTTGTGTTTTAGGGAACCAGTGGCGAATTTGTTGGTTATTAATTAGTAATAATGAGTTGAAATGGCTTAACTGCCAGAAATATCGACAAAATCGCATGAAGTGGCAGCTTACGTGGCATCAAAACCACTGTAATGCAGTTAAAAGCCCATCGCCGGACAATCACAATAAAGTAATTAAAAAGTGTAGGAAGGACATCAAAAAGCTTTGCTTTTCAACGAAGTGTAGGAAATTCCAAACACGGATGTCAATGCCCTCTTTAATAATGCTAAAGACGTTTGTGTCCTATGTGGCTACTATCTCACTTGCCGTGTGAAAATTCAACTCTTCGCAGTATAAAATTTCACGTCCGTGTGGTTCAGAAAAACTGTCAAAATTCACTACTATCCCAATTTGATTCAATCCGGCTTTAAGGAGGGATTCGTTTGGATTGCAAAACCTAGAGTTGCTCATCACGGCGACTACTTTTGGGCGTCAAGTGTCGGCTTGTGCCTGAAAAGTATAGACAAAAGTGGATTTCTTCGAAACTATATTTATGATAAAAAAAAATTATGAAAATCGATCATGCCAATCTTTTTAGTGGGTACAATGATTTTACGTGAGTTTTTAGCTCAAATATAAAAAATAAAAATAAAAAAGGTTAACATTTTTCCAGTTTCAATTCTTGTCCACTGCAAACAGACCAAAAAATTTTCATGCAACAAATTATATAAACCAACAAATTTGCCAAGACCAGTTAGCAATAATTCCACAAGCACTTGCACCATTTATAAAAATCAAGATTGTCAAAAAAGGTGTAACCACACACAAGACATTCCTGCACAAAAATTGCAGAACCAAAAGTGCAGAGAAAAGACAAAAACTGGAAAAAAGCAATAACTAAAAACCGCATTCAACGCAACGTCAATATGTCAAAATATTCAGACAAAAAACTCAATCAAAAGTCCACATAAAGTACAACATAAAATACAAAAAATAGTTGTTAAGCATGCACATATACATTTACACCTTTATGCACTCAAAACGTCCTTCACAATATAAACAACCAATAAACTATGCAAAAGTACTACATAAAGAGAATATACAAAAAAAAACGAGGAAAAACCGTAATAAAATGAAAATAAATGATAATACGCTAAAAGAGGAAACATGTAAGCACGAAGTACATACATATATATATACCTACATATATAAAAGACTTTTTATACTCGAACGTGGTTACCTGCCTCCAAGTAATTTTTCAAACTTATAATTTTTTTTTTTAATTTTTTTTATGTGTTGGAGTTAAGCTGAAAAGTACACAGCTCTGCCCGCCCGATAAGGTGCGGCAAATGTACAAAGCTTTAAGGTATTTATGTACTGATATATTTGGGTTTTACTGCGGGCATATGTATATGTATGTTGTTATTGTAATCTGCGCCATTGTCGCAAAAACAGGCTCAATCTATCCTACCAAATCAGCAAACCTGAGGTGCTGCTGGTGCCACGATGCATACCAAAAAAAAAAAAGCTTTTTAAGACTTTTGGCAGACACACACTTATGCAGTGATTTTCAGTCTTCATATAAAATTTTTATTTTTTACTTTTTTTATGAAAAATTTTAATGTAACTTTTAGACTGTGTGCTGTTCTTGGCTTTAATTTCAATTTTATTGTTTATGTTTTTGGCCGCGGCCACGGCAGCCAAGTGGTTCATATCCCGGCGCCACCAACACACAAAACTTACCGAAAATTTATTTAAATAAAAAATTAAGTCAAAATTTCAAATTACGGTCGTCCCCCGGCAGGGAATGTCAACCCCTCCGAGTGTATTTCGGACACCGAATAAGGCTGCTCGTAAAAAAAAACCATTACTTTTGTCTAGTTTGTCTAGAGGTCCAACTATGGGAATGAAAATAAGTTGAGGGAAGAAAATTCTTATTCAAGATTTTTAAGAATTGTTCGCTTCCACGGCCACTTTGCAAATTCAAAAAGTTTAATTTTCTTAATCTGAGCAAAAAAACTACTTCTAATTAAAATTTTTGGAAAAGAAAATAGTTTAACCATCCTTTGTCTCTCGTAAAGACCTGCTCCAATCAATTCCCAACAACAAATCGGCTCAGGTGTTCCCAATTGATGAATTACTATAAATTTTGTTCCACTATTTTTATACTTTTAGACAATAAATGAAAAGGGAATAGTTTGCCTTATCCTTAATCAATTTGAGAAGATTTAAAATTAGAGAAATGAAATTAGTAACTAATATAGGTATATTGATTCCACTTCGGGGTAATGCGATTTTGAAAATGTATTTAATTAATATGTTTACAATTCAACTAATAAAAAAAAAGAATATTTATCGATTAATTAAGTTTTAATTAATGAAAAATCTTTGTTAATCGATTAAGTTTAACTTTGGATTTACTTACCAAAAAAGTTTGGTTTTACTCAACCAAATCATTTAAACTCATTTTCAGTTAGTCAAAAAGTTGAATAATGAATTAATTTTAATTATAATCATAAATAATTTTTATAAGATTGGTTAAATTATTACTCAATTAATTTCAATTTAGTTAATCAAATAGACCTATTAATCGATTATTTTCTTTTATTAATCGAAAAGGATACTAAGTTTTAAATGATTAAGAGAATTATTTATAGTTTGATTAAATTTTAGTTACTCAAAGTGATTATTAATCAATTAATTTCAATTTAATTTTGTTATTAATAAATGAAAACAGATTATAAATCAGTTAATTGTTATTCTACACAATCAATAATTGTGTTTTTAATCATTCTAAAGTAGTTCTTAATCGAATCATTTTGATTTAATTGAATAATAGGAAGTAAGTTTTATTATTTAATTCTATTTAGTCGTAAAGGATAATTAATTAAAGAATATTATTTTCCATTAAGCCAAAAAGGATTATTAATCAATTAGCTTGAATTTTGATTAGCCAAAAAAGGCTTTTATATAATTTATTTAATTTAATTTATTAATTAATTAATTCTTCAAAAAATACTTTTAAGCAACTAACTTTCATTTAATCAATAAGAAACCGTAATCAATCGAGTAAGATTATTTTTAATTAATCAAAAAATGGTTGTCAATTAATTAACTTTGATTTGATTAATAAAAGGAGATTATTAATCATTTATATTTGCTTTGTATAAAGCAAAAAAGGCTCTTAGCTGATTAATTTTATTTGTATTAATCAAAAGTGATTATTAATCGATTAATCTAGTTTTTAATTACTCAACAATCAACTAATTTATTAATCAAGCATTCCTGAATAAAACAGCGCAATCGGAAATTTATCAGGAATTTTTCCAAAATTTACAATTCGCCCTATGCAAACCCCTTCAACTGTGACGATGAAAATACAATTGCGTAATAAATAACAAATTTAGCAACATTTTTCTTAACAAATTTTTCAACAAATTTACAAAAATATTCAACCAAAATAATTGCAGCAACTCAGTAGTTTTCAAAGCGGCGTTGGAAAATTCGCAACGCAAATGCGCAAGTAAGGAAAATCAGGAAATCGAAAATTTCGCAAGCGCACGGTGGGTTGTAAGCGAGTTCAGCCATTTAATTGCTTGTATAATCAAATTGCGCTGACCGCGTACAAAATGCGTGCGAAAATGTGCACCGATTTAATTGCAACAAATAGCGCGTTGCTGCTTGATTTATTTCTTCATTTTAACTTTTCAACACAAAAACAACAATAGTGGCGTACACGCTGCCACGCATATATTTAGTAGGCGCAGACGCGGCAATCATTGAGTGTTGGTTGCACAAGTGGCAGAGTAAAAAGAAATGGCAAAAAAAAACAAAAAAAACAACCACAACCAGCACTTTTTGGTCAAAACAATGCAACAGGTGTATAATGAAGTCGCGCTTCAAGCTGTTTTTTTTCTTTGGTGCTGTTGTTGTTATTGTTATATTGCACAAGCGGACAGCAGTTGCACCCATATGTGCCGTTATATAAAGAATTTCTCTACACCGACGAGC